AAGGCTTGTTAGGGGAACACACAGATATACTTGGCAATTTGGTTCCAAGCAACTGTCCCAGAACAACTGAATGCTCTATGTCCTCCCCATATTAATGGTCCACGTACCCTGCATAAAATTTCATGAAGATGTGAGAAAAAAAATTTGCGCTCCTTAGGGACCTGATATTCCAGTTTCTCCCTGCTAGCAACAACTTTGTATGAGTCGCATTTTTAATATTTAACAACAGCTGATCAGCAGCCACAGTGAGATGGGAGTATGATAATTCTACATTTATAGTAATTTAATTTAAACTTTATGAAAACACACTGGAGGAATAAACACATTTTTATTTACATGATGGATATTCCACATGTGTAATAACTGACCTACAATGTTGACGTGGACACAGTTTTAAAGCCCCTATTAAATATGCTTTTAAAAAATTCTTAAAACACTAACCTTAAGGATTAATTATACTTTGTTGTAAGCATAAAATATATTATTTTTAAAGTGTTTTCAATTTATATGATCTCTTTGGGAGTAATGTATTGACAACATGTTTCAAGTTAAAATTCAATGCCTGTTTTTTAAAAATGATTATAAGCAGAAAGACTATACTAAAAAGCTCTATGTTATATATAAATTTAGAACGCAGTAATTTTTATTCTTTCACTAAGTCAAGTTTGTGAAATGTTAGCATCATTTTAAGTTTAACATTTTGAAAAAAGATTAAGAAAACAAAATATTTAGGATAATTACACCATACCTTAACAACCTTTAAAATTCCCACATTTGTTCTTTCGTTCATTTCTATGTCAAACCAATTTCCTTCATTTCCAGAGATAAAGAAAATTACCGCCATCCAGTTAGCTGAGAACTCTTCATCCAAATCAATTACTCTAATCTCGAGCATATTTGAATTTAGGGTATTTTCTTCAATACTTATGTCGTACTGAAACAAGGAGTGAAAACTCTTAGCACAAACTGTGTGAAAGAGAGAACTATAGTAGGTTATACTGGAATGTTGATAAATTCATTATTTAGAAAATATATCTGTGGTTTTCATCTCATTTTTCATTGCTTAAATCTATATATTCTTGCATAAACACAAGAAAAAGGTATATATCTACAGTTGGGTTGTATGTCAATAAACATAACATGTGCCTCTGTAAGCAGAATTGTTCATATATGTTTTAGAATATAGTGCATTTAGAGTTATTAATTCCAAGAACAAATACTTACTGAAGACCGTTCCATGTAAGGGATATTATCATTGACATCGAGGATTTTAATGTTGCACTCACATTCCGCTGACATGCCATCTGCCCCGCCGTCTCGGTCAGAGCCTCTTACAGCAAGAGAATACTGGCCATATTGCTAAAAATACATATTACAAGCAATATCACACTTGACGTAGACAGCCTTTACTTTGTCTTATGTAAAGTTCTTTGAAATGTTGGCTCAACATTTACATAAATCTACGATAGAGGGAGGGTTAACACAGAATATGGAAAATCCACAGGTTTCATGTGATTATTCCCAATAAGGCTTATCATGCATTATTTAAATGATGCAACACTTTTTAAAAGGCTTCATTTCTTATTAATAATAATATGCCCAGATGTTGAAAAAGTTTATAAAGGGTAAAACAAACCAGAATGATCCCAAGGAGAGAGAGTAAGTTTACCAAAAGTTTATGGCATGAAAATTTCATAACCTAAATAATCAGCCCCGAGTGGGCAATAAGCATATAAAGAGGTAACATAGATTTGTGTTTTGGGAGGTAGTGGGTTGTGGCAATGGAGTTATTGGTGAAGTATCTATTCTTGACTCTATTCAATGGTGCTTACATTTCTAGAAGCTGGTAAAAGCTATGGAGGCTTTCTTTGACTCATGCAAAAATGCACACTCATTCGAAATGATGCATATGATTGAGGGGGTTTTATGGGGACATCTTGAGGTCTCTCCATTGACCCCAGGTTGAGAATATCTGCTCTGGTGGCTTCCCAATGGCTGCAGAGTCCCTTTCCTTCTGACAGCCCTTTCTTACAGTGCTTTACCATGAAAGCTCTTTTGACATGAACAAAACCCCACTGGGCGTTTAAGAAAGTTTGAGGGAGAAAAAAGTAAACATTTAATTTCTTCTAATGTTTATTTTCAAACATGCATGAAGGGAGACTTAGGTAACTTAGAAGCTTATAACATTTAGATAGTTAAAGAGTATTAAAATAATGTGATTTATCCTAAACCTAAAAGTCATCAGCAAAAAGATTGTCATTTTTAATAATTAAAACAAAATTAATTGAATACCATCAGAAAATAGTTTCCTCACTTATGCCCCTAATTTATGTTTAGGTCAGTGAGATTCTATTAAAAGACAATATTTTTTAAAATAATGAAAAAGCACATATTTTAAAACTAAATCATGAAATCACATAGCATGCTAGAAACCTCATAATGCTGACTTTACTGTGTTAACAATCACTAGTTATTTTCTTATCTGTAAACAAAAAGATTGATCAGACTGTCATTCTTATCCTGTGGTTCATTTCCCAAAGTAAATGAATGGATGGTCTATCAATAGATGTTACATAGGAGAAAAAGGGTTCTGTTGTCAATGGAGCTTAGATCTGCTAGGTTAAAGAAAGAGAACTTAGTATGTAAATATTCTTGGAGCCTCCAGCATACTCACATGCATTGTAACTCACCAAAATGTGGACATACAGCAAGTGATTCCTAAATTCATTTTATTATAGAACACACTTTTTAGAGAAATAGAGTTTTTCATTGTACCTTAGGCATATTTTCATGTACTTTAAGAATATAGTTTTCTTACATTGAAGCAAATTTTAATTAATTAACTATATGAAAAAAGCACAAAATGTAATTTAAAAATCCTCCCTTTTTCGTTTAAAAAATATTTCTTACATGAAAGAATTATGTAAAAAGTTATACAGGTAAAAATTTAAAACATCATTTTCTTTGTCTTTTTGTCTCTTCAGTATCCTTGCTTTTAGAATCAGTTCCTTTGAGATTAAAAATCCACAAAGAAAAAGAATTACCTCTCTGTCTAGAAAATTATTCATCGTTCGAATTTCTCCAGTATTTCTGTTGATAATAAACATTGGTGAATCTGAAGGTTCTTGTCTTATAATCTTGAAGGCTATTTTTGAATTCAAGTTGTTTGGTTCATCTGCATCAGTAGCATTGAGTATCATCACCAGTGTATCTAGAAACCAAGGAAAATTGATTGCAAATGGGCGACTTACGTTTTTGTTACAGTATAGTATATCACCTTTCCAAAAAAGTGTTAGAGTTAGTTGATTCATATGATGTGGACTTCATTGTCTTACCTTTCTACTCCTTCAACTTATGAATATCTTGGCTCTTTTCTATATCTTTGCCTAATAAAAAGATCAAATTTTATTAGGAATCTAGACATTGCTGATAACTGGGAAACAAAGGAAATGTGTTATTCTGGCTATTTCTTCATCTAGTATTTTTTCTTCTTTTTTAAAGGATGTTGTGGCAAAACAAAATGATAATAAGACCAGACCAACATTTTCCCAACTTTCTCAACACTTTCTAGCTATATGATCTTGGCCTCAGTTTCTATATCTATAAATGGGGAAGATATTACTGCCATCCACATTGAATTCATGTGAGAATTAAATCATTAATAAGAGAAAACTATATAAAGTTCCTAATGAATAATGCACATTTGATAAATATACATTATTACTGTTTTGTTTTGGGTGATCCTTCATCAAGTGTAAGGTAATTAGTAGATGTAAAGAAATGCTTGTTTAACTACATACATTGTCCTGTCTCTTATATTTTTCATTAATTTTATAAGTAGTTTTGATGAAGATTATTGGGTTATTGGAGAATGTGAAAAACTGCCAGTTGTCATTCATAACTTTGGAATTGTTCTCTACTCTCCAACTCCATTTCAAATACAATTTTCCTACAAATGCTCCAAGGCATCTGTCATCCCCCACCTGTATTCATTGTAGCATAACCTTTAAAATGTTTTCACTAGATAATTAACATTTATATACACTTATATAATTTATATAATTAAATTCCATGCAACTATTTGAAAGCAGTGAAACAATCTAGGTGTCCTGATATGGAAATATGTTCAAAATATATTTATATAAAAATTCCTGTGGATTAGTATGTAACAGATGATACCATTTATGTTAAAAAGCATGTGATTTATGTTTACATAAATAGAACGCATGTACACAGTGCATACCTCTGAAGAATGGTACTAGGAAAAGCAGACAAAAGATTTTTGTTCCCTTTTCCTTTTCATATTATATAAATTTAATGAGCATTTTTATAATAACATTTTTAAAAGTTGAAAGTATAGGTACAGTATTTTAATGAATAAAAGTAAAGTGTAGGGATTTTTGGAATTCACAAGAAATTTTATCACTTCCAGGTTAAACCACAAAATGAAGTTTTGTGTGGAAGTGACTTCTATAAGTGATTTTAAAGTAGCTAACTTTAAAAAGGTGGGGCGATGGGGAACGCAGTATGAGCAGAAAAGGGTGGGACTGCCCATCCACACAGTTAGACTGGGAGGCTGAATTCACATCCCGATGCCCCTGCCACCACTGTGCAAAATGCCTTTAAAATTTCTTGTTAGGACTCTTCTACAGGGCTGGCCTGAGAGTCATATGAGAAAATCCTCCTCATTGCTTTGGAATCACGCCTTGTGTCTCTCAGTTTGGAGCTGCTTCCATAGTTGAAAGGAAAGACTTGCTATTCTGCATATTTTCTATGGTTTATCTGTTACGTTCATGATGTGTATTTGACATAGTTTAGTCTCCAGTTAGGTGCCTGCTTGTTAGGAGTGATTTGGAAGCCACTACATTACTTACTTGCATTAGAATTTTCTTCTATTTGTCCTACAAATGTAGCCATTGAAAACACTGGAGGGTTGTCATTTATATCCAAAACCCTGACTCTGAGCTCTAGCGGCCTCTCTAAATCTTGGCCCATTGAGTTCAGAGCTCGGCAGTAGATCTGGGAGAGAAAAGATAAATAATTATATTGTGAAACACAGTTTTATTAAGTTCTTACTTTGAGCATTATACTAGCACTGTGGGGAATTAAAAGAATTATTATGTCTAACTAGAACATAGGCACAAGCCCTACTTACAGTCACTAAAGGAAAGCAAATGTGGCATTCTTAAGCTAGGTAGTAGCTACATAGGGGTTTGCATTATTATTATTATTATTTGTATTTGAAGCGTCCCTAAGTGTAATGTGTACTATTTTACAAAATGGCATATTTCTATATATAAATGCATTGTGATACTAGCCTGGGCAATATAATGAGACCCTGTCTCTAAAAAAATAATAAAGATTTAAAAAATGCATTGTGCTCCAAGAAAAGCTAACAGGGTAGCATGCCTTTTTAAAGTGTGTGGGGGATCATTGTGGTACAGATGGGAGAAATAAAGATTTGGAATTGAAGGCTGAAGAATTAAAGTTGTGTGAGGAATACAGGCAGGCAGTGTGAGTGAAAACTGCAAATATCGATTATCATTTGAAGGTGTTTTGGGATATGGATTGATGGGGTTTTAATAGAAGAGGTAACAGGAGCAAAATAGGGTTTCTTTATTCCTATTTTTAATATTAAGAAGTGTTGGCCATGATGATAGAGGGGAATGGGAGTAGCCAAGGAGTCAGCAGAAGGGAGACAGCAAAACAGAGGTGATGGAATGATTCTCCAAGTAACTGGTAATTATAGGACGATGGAAATGTCTTGGAATACGCTGTGGGAAAAAGCAAACAATTGATCCTGCTTTTGGATTTAATGAAGAACATTTCTGAGCTGGGCGAGAGAGAAATAATTGTGGGAGTTTGTGATGGATGGTCTCAGCCTTTTTCGTGAAGTTGGTCACAATGTCAACTGCTTAAAGTGGAAATGAGGTAGAGGGTTTGAAGAGATAGGATACTTAAACTGTGTGACAGCTCCTATAAAGAATGGAGTGAGATTCCCTTAAGAAAGGATGAATTTTCAAGGTGCATTCGGAGCTCAGGTGAGCTTGAGGAATACAAATTTATAGGAAAGTATACTTGCTCAGAAAACAGTCCTGCAGTAGCTCTAGAATCATTACTTGACATTAGACTTAACATTCTTTACTGAATTTTAAAAAAACGAAAAATTAAAAAGTTAGATATTTGTCCTTCCAAACAAATACTCTAGTTTGCCAATGAGGACAGTATAGACGTTAGCATTTTTGCTAACACTTAAGTGAAACATTTCCTTCTCTCTGAATCTTTGCATTTCTTTTCAGTCGTGGGATGCTCGTGAATTAAGAAATAACCAAAAATGCCAAATATTGAGACTCTTGAAATCAAATTAAGTATGATCTGAGATTAAGAGCTTCTGAGAAGAATTTCAGCATGAACATATATATTGACATGAAGTCCACTTACAATGAAGAAGGGAGTGACTTCTCGATCAACTATGGATGTTATATTAATTTCACCAGTTTTCTGATTAATGACAAAGATCCCATACGGTGGCTGATCAATTCCTACTCCAGAGATGCGGTATGTAACTTGCTGGTTTGCAGCACAATCTGAGTGAATCTGCAGAACGAACACAAGTAAAAATATTACAGGAAGCAAATAGAGTTCTATATTTGATATATATATGACAGCTTTCTTGAGAGTTGTTGCATATGATGACCTTGTTATTTAGGAAATATTGACAATGGAGAATTATTTTCCTAGATAAGAGTAACAATTGCAGCTCTAATATTTTCAATGGTAACTGACAATGTAATTAAAGAAATTCAGTTTCTACTTCTATCAAACAAGAAAAAAAGCAAAATATCACCCCACTATATCTAAGTCTATGCAATCATCATGCATACCTTCATTCATTCAACAGTTAAAATTTTATGTTGTCCAGCACTTTGGGAGGCCGAGACGCGCGGATTACGAGGTCAGGAGATCGAGACCATCCTGGCTAACACGGAGAAACCCCGTCTCTACTAAAAAATACAAAAAACTAGCCGGGCGAGGTGGCGGGCCCTGTAGTCCCAGCTACTCGGGAGGCTGAGGCGGAGAATGGCGTAAACCTGGCAGGCGGAGCTTGCAGTGAGCCGAGATCCAGCCCACTGCACTCCAGCCTGGGCGACAGAGCGAGACTCCGTCTCAAAAAAAAAAAAAAAAAAAAAATTTTATGTTGTACTCTTTGCAGGGTCTGTGCTTGCACTGGAGCTACAGAATGAAATTGCTTGCCCTCTTAAGGAGTTTACCAATGTTGTCATCATGCAACTGTAATCTTCAATTTTTTTTCAATGTAAAGTTTTCAAAGAAAGTAGATTTATTTAGGTGACAATTGTTATCTGGGTTTGAGCGGAAGCTCTGAATTCTGAAAATGGGAAGGCAGTATTAGCAGAAAAGGAAGGAGACCATGCAAATAAATGGTTATAGAAACCGGCACTCCTTCTTTGAAGTAAAATATAGTTTGACTGTAAACAAATCTTAGTGGGGAGTCTTCGTGAGCGTCTGTGTGGATGTATGTGTATATTTGTGTGTGTATTTGTGGATGTGTATATCTGTATGTTCATGAATTTGTGGGGGTGTTTCTGAGTGTGTGTGTGTATGTAGAAAGGAAGATACAGAAAAATGAGTAGAAAAGGGGTATGAGAGAGGGCACCTTGTGAATGTTAATAAACAAACAAAAAAGTAGGAATTCAATTCTAATACATTGGGAGGCAAAAAGAGCACACATTGAAAATTTTTCTTTGAATGTGCTGAAAGCCAAATTATTTATTAAAATGATGATCGTTTTTCATCTAGAGTTTGGGATAACACACGATCACGTGTATGCATTTCACCAAAGAGATAAGTCAACGTTTACCTGTTTCTCTGAGCACCTGCTTAATTTGTCCTTATGAGTTTCAGTTTTCATCATCTAGATGACTATAGTTCTGTTCTGTATTGTAGTTTCTCAGTGAGACATGTTCACAAAATATTTAACAGACAGTTGCTTTTGAAACTTTATCCATTCTGATTTTCAATGTTATACTTTGGAGTTGATACTTACTTTGGCGATTGGATTCCTTTTTGAGTTGTCTTCACCTTCACGACATGCCGCTGCGAACTTGATCCATTCACGTTTCTGCCTTCGGATCGAATGCCATTTAATGGTGCCATTTTTAGTGTTATAATCTCTTACCTTAAATGACAGCAATAAAGAAATGGTATATATTAATTTGAATTCGTAATTCAAATTCCACTGAGATTTTTGGAAGAGGATATAATCTCAGAAACAGACGATATTTAATTGGGAAAATTGGTAATTTTGGTAATCTATTAATTTTAGCATTATATGACCTTTACCTATAAGAATACATTTTCTTCAGAAAATATATTGTTATTCTCAAATTATTTTCTTGTTTAAAAATTTGGAAAAATGGATTTGTTGTATATTACCTGGATTCGGAATTCACTGTTAACTTCTACCACCACCTGTAAAAAATAAGATAATCACACTAGTTATTTTTTAATTAAATACTTTAAAATTTATATCATCCAGTTACTTTAAAAATGACATGAAACCATTGGCTTGTGAGTCATTAAAATTATTTTATCAGCCAAATAGCAGGTGGATTTGGTTTATGTCTTGGGTCTGATGATGATGCTAAGAATTTTTGTTTTTACCTTTCGATTTACTCTTCTCTTTATTACTATTATTTTATACTTGTATTTCTCCCTAAATAAGAAATTTTCAACTTTTAATTGAATTTATTTGGAATTGCAAAGTATGAAAAATTTTATTTGTATCACTGATATAAGAAAATTATAGTTTGCATTTAAAAATACTAAGAGTAGTAATTAAAAATATAAAAAAGTTCTTTTTATAATTTTAATTGTATCATAAAAGAAAATATAAACAATGTCTCTGAGTATCTACTTTAAAAAAAGTCAAATAGATAATTCAGAAAATAAATATTTATGATCAATATGAGAAGTGTAAAAAGATAATGCTTTTATTGTGAGAATTACATATCCATTGTGTATTTAGTATTAATAATTATGATTATTACTACTCTTATAATTTATTAAATAATAACTCGGTATTAGATTATGTATTTATGTAAATCTGTGCACCTAATCATCACAACAAATACATGTGGTTATGACTAATACTATCTCCATTTTACAGATAAGGAAATTTGAGTCTTGGATGTTAACTTATGGCTAAATATAATTCAATACAATTTAGCACAAATTTGCACTTGAGCTGTGGGTTTTACAATAAAATATGAGATAGCCTATTCCCTCAAGTAAATTGCTACTAAGTAAAACGTGCTACAAAGAATTTATACTGTAACTTTAAGAACTCGAAAAATTCTGATTTTAAACTAATCTATTATCCTTGTGATTGGTAATATTTACATACAATGATAGTAATACAGCACGAAGAAAAAAAAGAAAAGTAAATCGCCCAAATTTTAAAACATATAACTGACATATTGTCTGTAGAACCCATCTTGGACGCAGAACTGAAATGATGAAATGATGTTCATGTAAATGCATGCTCCTTGCTACCTGTGAATTTATGAACACTCTTCCCTCTCTCTTGTTTGTGAGTGTGGGATGGGAGATGGGCATACCTTATTCGTCTGTTTGAAAGGCATTTCTTCATAGCTGCAGAATTGTGCATGCATCTGTTATCTGTTATTGCACTTCCCTTACTGCATTGGAGCATCAGTGCTTGCTGTTTGTTTTGGAAAACTATGCAGATGACTAAGAAATATTTCCAGCTTTATGAAGCTGGGTCATTCTTTTTCCCATGAGAGACAACTTGGGCAGAAGACCAAGTAGGTTTCGCCATACAGTCAGACTCTCAATTGGATCTGTAATCTAAAAACTGCCACGTCTGCTTAAAAATGTGGTGGGTTGGTGTAAGCTTATTTTCTATTGCTCAGAGTCTAGAATAAACTCTGATACAAAGTCACTCTTGGACTTTCAAAGGCAAAATAGTGAAATCTGAGTCTTGATAGAGTTGGAAAATCTTCAATATATTTCCTCAATTCTCTGAACTTTAGTTTCCTCACTTGTAATGACAAAAGTAGACTAAATTTTATACAGGTAACTTTGCAGCTCTAATATTAAATGCCTGTGTGCAGTAGGAAAATATTGAAGTACTTAGATGTGGGAAGGGCATGATAAAATTGTGGTTTTAAAGCTTACTCTGACAACAGTTGGTAGGACTAGTGACAACAGTCGGTAGGACTAGTGGGAAGAGGCGGTGATTACAGACCTCTTGAGGGTCTCTGTATCAAAGCAGACCGGAGGTGAGAAGGAGGTACCCTGGAGCAGAGGCAGAGGGAGTGGACGGGGAAAGATCAAGGCATACTGCAGCATAGCATTGGCAGGGCTTGAGAACAAATGGGATGGGGGTGTTCAAGCGAGGGAGGAAGCTCAGGGGATGGCAGTTTTAAACTGTGGGACTGGGAACAAGACAGCAATAGAATTTAGCAGATTAGAACACATTGAGTTTGAGATGTCAGATAATGCCTGGGTGAAGATGATCAGCAACTGGAAACATGGATCAAAAGTTAAGCAAAAGTTCAAACTGGATATATAGATTTTGAGGTACATCTGCTCAGGCAGGCTGGTTGAAATCATGTGAGAATTTGAAATTCCTGAAGTAGAGGATACAATCAAGAAGCAGCCTGCAATTGAGGATAAAACTAGAAGAATTTCTACATTTATTGAACTAGGAACAAGGACAACAAACGAATAAAAAAAAAAGGAAGGAGGGGTCCGGGCGCGGTGGCTCATGCCTGTAATTCCAGAACTTTGGGAGGCCGATGCGGGTGGATCACAAGGTCAGGAGATCAAAACTATCCTGGCCGACATGGTGAAACCTCGTCTCCACTAAAAATACAAAAATTAGCTGGGAGTGGTGGTGCGTGCCTGTAGTCCCAGCTACTTGGGAGGCTGAGACAGGAGAATCAGTTGAACCCGGGAGGCAGAGGTTGTAGTGAGCCAGGATTGCACCACTGCACTCCTGGGGACAGAGCAAGACTTTGTCTCAAACAAACAAAAAAACAAAAAGCAAAAGGAAGGCGAGAAGGAGTGGTGAAAGAAACAATAGGAAAATATAATGCGTTGTAATGGAGGTCAGAGGAAAAGGAAAATGGAAAGACAGATAGGGTTGAAAGAGATAATGTAAAAAAGTTGAGCAGAGTGAATTCTGAGGAAATCCTGAGGTTCTGAGGGACCTTCGAGAGAATATTTTTAGCGGGATGGAACATGAACTTGCTTGACAGGAAGGGGTTAGGAAATAAGAGGAGGAGAGGAAGACACAAAGATGGTCACTTTTTCAAGATATTAGTGATAAAAGGGAACAGAGGGACAAGATGGTAGGATTAGATATAGCATTCAATGACATTTTTTGAGAGAGGGGAACCTAAGGATTTTTGAAAGTTAAGATAGAAGCTAGGAGGAGATTTTGATTTAAAAGGAGATGTTCAGAAGGAAGATTCTTACAGAAGTGTTGTGATGGGGAGAGCAGGAGAGAACGGGCAGAAAAAGAAAGGACCTCAAAGACAAAGGCAAGGAAAGGTAGAGATGAAAATCAATCAACTAGGAAAGGGAAATTGGAAGACATTGTACAAAATGACCTAGACTTTGTCCCTGGAGTAAGGGTGAGGTTATTTTCTGGCAATTAAGGGAGAAGTTTGGATTCCCAAATGAGTTTGGAGTGTGTGCTATGGAGGCTGTGATGGAGATTTACCTAGAGATGAACACAGGGGTTGTCAGGCTGAGTATATCTCAGCTGTCTTGCCCGGTGGATAGGGATGTTGGGGTAAGTCATTAAATCAATCTGTGCCTCAGTTTCCTCAGCTGTATATGAGACTAAAAGTCCCCTCTAGTCCTAAAATTCTATGAAAGCAGTAAATAATTCACCTGAAATGCATCCTCAATGAGTTTTCCCTTTGTTTCTGTGTTAGGAACCAATCCATTTATGTACTTTTTAAAAGCTACAGGAGACAAAATTGCAGGCTAATTTTATTAAATCCCCAATTACAGTAATTTTTCATGTTTTTCTTTTTAATATTGAAGTTCATGCTTCCTTGCACATAATAAAAATGGGTTTGAGGTATAAAAACAAGCTATTTTTATTTTTAAAAATCTCTTGCATTTAACAATTGTGAGATGGTCTTCCCAGTCACTTTTTGCTAAGCATTCAATTCTAACATAATTGTTAAGTTTTTGTTAAGCATTCAATTCTAATGTAATTGTTAACTTTTACATACATTGCAAGGATGCACTTGAAACAAAGCTAAAATATCACAATTTGCTTTAAAAACCTCCTCTTGCATTTACTTTGTACTGCCCTGACAAAGGGTATCAGTCTGGGGTTGACAACACCTCAATGGGTTAAATTCTCTAATTTATTCTTTTTGTTTGTGTATTTTACAAGTACAAAATGAATGTGTATTATGTGGATCCAATGCTAGATTAAGACTTTTAAAGGCCTAAAAATATTATAGTAAGCCTCAGATGAAATGCAAAGTGAATTTAATACTACACTATTAAAATGCTGGGGAAATCCAGTATTATTATTTCTATGTTTAATAGTGTAATAATTTTTTGGAGTGTGTGGGGGAAGAGCTGTAAAAATTATTCAAAAATTTCCTTGTGGTACCTCTGCTGTGTGTGATTAGACATCTTTTGAGCAATCTTGCACTGGTGCAGGGCACTATAAGGGATACAAAAGCAAATCAGACACAGAACCTGCCCTCAAATAACTTACAGTCCTGCAGTTTTACGAGCAACAGGCAACCATTAATTTGTAGAGATATGATTTCTCATTAGACAAGTATGGAAAACTGTGCCCTATTCTCATAGACCAATTAAGAGCATGGATCAGCAGCTAATGGCATTTAAAAAAATTTGACCTGTCTAAGTCCATTGAAGGAATTTGTATATCAAGCATAATCAGCAAGGGTGGCATGACCCAGCACTGGGCAGGGGTGTTCCCTGAGTTGAGGGAGCACTATAAATCTAATTGCGACGCCTGGCAGAGCAGGCTTCCTGCTGATACGTTAGGCAATGTCTATTAGGACACAGGGATACTCAGCAGCCATGGTCTTTGATGAATGTATCATGGAGAAAGAGTTACCAGAAATTAAGTGCTCTGGGTAGAGATAAGATAATTTCTAGATTGATGAGATTTGTTAAACAAGTGAATCTTATTCCTAGGGTCAGCCTTTCAGATTTAAGACAGCATTCTTCAGTGCTTTAGGTTCTACCCTTTCCTAAAACAGGGATGACAAAATGTTTTTACTTTGCGGCAACTCAAACCAATTGAGCGATGATAAATTTGTACCCCCTGTTTCTGTAAAGGTGACAGAAGATGCTAATCCTAAATCTGCAGTGAAATAATAAAGCTTTTATGAACACCATATATAACTGTTAATGATGATACTTGAATGCAATTTGTAAGTTTCACTGAATAGGTGAACAGAAATATTCCTTCCATTCTCTATAATATATTTTACTGAAACACTAATCTCTATGCTGTATATCACTATAATACATGCTCAAGAAAGTACAAAGAGCCCTCTCTTTTGCGTGCCTTCTGTTTGGTCTGCACTAGTTTGTTAGTCCTTCTTTTGCTTTAGGCATCTGTGAATGCAATTATGGGGACTTAAGATGTCTTCAAGTAAGTTTAGGAATTATGTAATGAAATGTGTTTTATTTTCTGTGCGTTTTAGCCTGAGTGCAGAAAGTACTCTTAAAAACTCCTGCTCATATTTTACAGAATTTCAGTTCAGTTCAAACTGTGGAGTTAGTTTATCAGGTGGTCAGAGGGTTGGAGTTTTGTTTGTTTGTTTGTTTGTTTGTTTGTTTTGAAATGAAATATTAACCCATAGAAAGAGGGGGAACATGGTTACTATAATGCACCAAAATAATCAGATCATTCATGGTCATAGATAAAAGTCATTTTCTCTGTTCTTTGAGCATGAGCTGCAGAAATTTACCTTTCTAGAAAAAGACATCTTCATATTTGTAGTGACTTAAACAGACTAATTGGACCTGGCAAAGTTGCAAGTAATTTTCAGAAATCATTAAAACCATAGAGGTCCCGCTGGCTCTGTTTTGCTTTCCCACAGTGACCATGCTGTACTTTTTACCATTGTCATACACATGCACACAGATTTCTTTTATCTGGTGCATAGGAAACATTGTTCTCTGGCCTAGAGAAAATACATTCTAACTCCTTTCCCTACTCCATACAATGATTATACAGAAACAAAAAGAAGAAAGCAAAATAGATGTAGAATTAACAAAATGTGTTTGACTTGCAGTGTTATAGCAGGTGTAATCTCTTGTCTGTCCAGGAGACTTGTCAGAACAATAGACTAGCCATAGAGCAATCTTGTTTGCTGTAAGAGCAGCTCCTCCAGCTTTGTTCTCCCTGATTCAACCCACTCATTTGAACAAGGTTCACAACCTTCAGATGCATTGAGCTGAATACACAGTATGCTTGCAAACAGATAGTTACCCAGTTCTCAGGTGGATTTACTTAAAAGACATGACCAATTTAAATATCTTAAAGACCTTAACCAGTGTACAAACACACTTCCTAATGCAGGTTCCCACTTACTGACTTTGAGTAGAGATGAATATAAAGACTTTACATAGATTTTTTTTCACTTTTTGGTAAAAGCACGCATTTATAATGGGACTAGAAGAAAGATAACTGAAAGAATTTGCTATAGTGGGTGGTTGTTTTGAAGAAAAAAGTATTTTAAAGAAAAATACAGATTAGGAAACTCCAAAGGACAATTACCAAAATTATACCATGTGGCAAAATCAGTATTAAAATAAATTTTGATCTTCCAAACCTTAGAAAGTGAAATGTTTTCCAAAAAAAGCTGTCATGTCAATGTGAAAATGAAACATTGTAATTCATGATAGTGTAAGTTATTTGAGAAATAATTTTCATAAGGCATGTGAGAGACTTGTGATTGATTTCAATATAAAATAAGGTAACCTCCTCTTCCCCCATTCCCAAAAAAACCCCATAAACCAACAAAAAACAATCTAGGCACAGCCAGAGAAAGTTCAATAAAGATAAACGATTTTGATGATGATACATTTTATTGAAGAATGACTAAATAGAAAGTGGTTGTTTAAAGACATTTGATATGCTGTAATTAATTTGAAATAAATAAATCAAGAAATAAGGTACATCTTAGAGATTCTATGAAAGTTAGTGTACACCTTTCTGAACAAGCTGATCAACTAAAACTATAATAGCCCTTAATGGATCAAATTTATTTGAAATTTTAAGTCAAAGTATTTGATTACTGACAATATGAAACTCTTGCATTTCAAATGACATACTGTATGATGCTCAGTGATCCCTACCAAACCCTAAGTAATGAAATCAACTGATCCTAAATATCCACTGAAAAGATCATGGGATAAGACTAATGTTTGAAGGAAAGCTTGGAAGTAAAGCCACCATTTTACTGATGCTCATTTATAACTAAATCTACTGATTATGTCCCGCCTTAGTTAATAAACTGAATTCAAACTAACCAGCATACCTTGAATCAAAGATCTAACTTATTATACCAACCCAACATTCCAGTTCAAAAATCAAGCAAGTAGAAACAAATGTGAACCACAACATTATACATCCTGCCAAGCTGGAGGGCAATTGACTTGGCACCTGCCTTTTTGAATTACATTAACCTTATTGTGAGAGAGATTACAATTTTCAAATTTTCACTGAAAGTGAAATTGACATAATACATTAGTGGTACACTTAGTATTATCTCTACAAAGAGAAAACGAATTACATGTAAGGGGGCAATGGTAAAGTATTTCATCACATTCGTCTGATCATCAAGTGCACAATTTTTGTATCACAGTCATCACTGACATTCCAGTAGTAAGATCAAGTGTAATAATAGTTATATTTACTCTTTAATTGTAGCCACTTCTTCACTTCATATGTCATTTATAAACCTCCTATACTGCCATTTTTTGAAATTAAAAATGTTTTAAATAAAATCGTAAACAGTGTGGGGCTTTGTATAGTAGTGATACAGATTCTAACCAAATATGCAACTGATGAGTTTATTTGGATAGCGAGGCCAGCCACAAACTGTTATGATTTTAAATTATGTGGATGCCATTTTTATGTTTTAAAAATTAGAGTAATTCCACTATCAAAGATACTAAAAAAAAAAAAAAAAAAAATTAGGTTAAAAACCCAGGCTCACTTGTGATATTTAGTTTAAAAGCCCTCTTGCAAGAGATTTTGAACCACAAAGTGCTACTAACGAGCGATAGGAATTTCCTAAATTCAATATTTTCCCAGCATGACTTAGCAATGACTTCAGTGTCAGAGATGTAATACAATGAGTTGACACTGATGCATTAACATGATCTTGAGTCTTCAGTTAAAGAGAGAAATGCTATTGAAAAATCTAGTTCATAAAATCACCTTGTCATTAACATATATTTTAAATGGGTTTAGGTTAGAAACAATGCCTATTAACATTTTCTAAAAAGTTTTCACTTGTTTACAATGAGCACGATTATGAAGGGTTTTTACCAGAATCCACTCACCAGAAAAATGAACAGCACTGCAGCTCCTCTGAAGAAACGCCAGTCCATCTCTGCTGGATTCTCTTACATCCAAGACCAAGGGAGTTTTGTTTGTTCTTCTCTGTTCTTTTTCTTTCTCCCACTCAGCTGGTGTCTGATTAAAATAATTTCTCAGTAGATGTTCTTACATGCAGGCTTTGAGGTGTTTCTGCCTTCCTCTGGGAGAAGGACTGAAGGTACGTATAACCAGTCTGGATCCCCACCCTAAAAACTTGGGCTGGTCTCACTGAAATGCTTGACAAGATCATCATTGCTCCCAGGTAAAAACTTGGGGACACACCCTTCTTCCAGCTGAAAAGCAACTCTCGATGGGGCAAGGAAGATTCACTCCTTTACTGAAGGTTTTCAGTAGCAGGCTCTTAAAGTGAACAGAAATGTGGAGGGTTATACAGGTGATAGGGGCTTCTCACCCCATGCTTTCTTTACAGGTAGTTTAGTTTCTCCCCATATTCAACAGGTAGGTATAACTTGAATGCTCACATTATTCATTCGATTAGCTGTTTGTAGCCAAACCCTAGGGTCATAGCAGAAAATTACAAACTTTCCATTTTAGTAGATGTTGGGAAAGTTTCAGTTATTTTCAACTGTTAAGAGAAGGAAAATTTGCTAATGTGAGTGAGGATTTTTTAAAGTTATTAATTCAAACAAGTAAAACCGTGATGCTTATAATTATTAGATCCTCTGCATAAGTCACAATTCTCATTAACTGACCAGCCTTAAGTCTAAGGAATCCTCCATTTTCCCTCTAAAGGAATGATTTTCTTTCCCTAAGTATTTTTCTTTCTTTATGATTCTTTTTTTTAAATGCAATAAAACAAAAATTTAAATATTACTAAACTTAATTAAGGATGAATAGTGAGGACTATCAATTAAAATCCTGATAATAATTTTAAAAATGAGATTTGGTGCCTGAAATACTAATGGAAACACAGAAAGCTGCTCAACAGGTGAGGTGGGTTAAAAGTCAATGACAATTCCCAAGCACAGAGCCAAGAATCTGTACAGTGAGCCAATTAGAACATAGGGAATACACTGAAGAAATGGCTGCCTACACATGTAGATGGGAAACTGAATGCAGCCCTGTGGTTTGTGAAAATAAATAGCAACCTTCACAAGGCAGCATTTGGACATATTTTTGGACTCTCTTCTCTTCCCCTGACAATGTCTAGTATAAATATTGTGAGTGGCAGGAAGCTCATAGGCACTGGATGCCCTCAGAGTTTGAAACGGCTACTTGGAACAAGAGACCTATCTGATGAGATGTTGATTATGGTCAAAAAATACTCAAAATGTCTCCAAAAGGAAGAATATCTCTGAGGGTCAGAGAGTCTATAGAAGGCTGTCATTTCACTACAGATTTGTGGCCAAGAAGATGTGTGGTTTGAATTTTCATATTATCCATCATAGACTGTAGAGGGTAGGAGATAGGCTGCCCATGTTTATTGCAGTGAATAAGAATGCTTATGATTGTAAATAGCAGATGTAAATAAATAAAATTTAGAAAGATGGGTTGGTCAATTTTCTCTAATGAGAAATGTCAAGTAAAATAGACTGCATAAACCTATGACTTAGTCTGAGCAATATATTAGTATCAGGTTGTCTGACCATGAATAACAGAAGACTCATTGGGCACCAGACACAACTGGACCTACTCTTGCAGCTTTCCAGTGGCAAGTCAATGTGTATGTACCTTGGATTCTGGGCACGATGCTAGGACATGCACGGGGCCTTCTTCATCCATTAAATTACCTTTCCTTAAACCCAACCCTGACTCCACCTCTAACTCAATGCCTCACTCCAACCTTCCTATCTGACTAGGTGATTCATAAGGCAGCAACCTCCCAAACATCTTTCTGGAGAGGAGGTGTGGTAGAACTCCAGCACTGCAGAGCAGCGTCTGTGTTGGCAATCACATGAGAGCCAATTAGATGTTAAACACAGTGGGAGAGGGAAATTATTAATCACTTTCTCTCCTTTGCCTCCTTCCCTACCTTTTTCTGTTTCTTACTCGTTTTAATGTCCTCAGAACAGTGGTATCCAGTAGAAATTTCTGCAATACGAAAATGTTCTCTCTTTATGCTGTCAGATATGGTAGCCACTTATAATATGTGGCCACTGAGAATTTAAAATATGGTTATTATGACTAAGGAAAAGAATATTTAACTTTGCTTAATTTAAGTTTAAATAACCACATGTGGCTAGTGGTTACCATATTGGACAGTGCAGACATCGTTGCTTTTGTTGTCTATCTTCTCTCTTACTCCAAGATTTAATTCCTTCTGGTTTTTACAAACTCAACTCTCTCAATCTGCCCTATGCCTTTTCTTAACTGAGAACTCCACCGTTGTTCCAGCTTTCAATCAGCACATTTAATTAGTTTTCCTTCACGTACTCCTATCTCAGTTGGTCCTGTCCCTTTTCCTGACTTAGTGGTCCTCTTTCCTAATGCCAATGAGTTAACATACTTTACAACATAGGCAACACAAACCGTTTCATTTCCGCATTCACATTGTTTTCAATTCTTTCTTCCAGCAATCTCATCTGTAACCTCACATCACACTGTTGCTTCTTCTTTCCCATCTCAGTGAACTCCTTTTCTTTACCCTGAACGTTGTTCAGTATGTGTACCTGCATGTACATAGCAACAGTTCTCATTTCATAAAAATTTTGTGAAATTTGGGGTGATTTTTCTGTCTGGAATTTCCCTGGTGAGCTGACAAAGTTTTCTATAGAGACTAAAATTCTCTAGAGAAAAGGATTTTCCTATTTTTAAGAAGGCATTGCAAACTCCAGAATGTATCTTAAGTGTTTGCATTTCTACATTTGTTGTTAGCTTGAAATATTGCAATACCTTTTAAGAAAACAAAATAATCAGCCTCTATAAAAGTAATTTTGAAAAACAAAATAATCTGCTTATTTCACTAAAGGTAACATGTTGTATTGATCTAGAAGTTCTCAAGCCTAAAGGCAGTAACTGTTTTATCCACCTTCATTTACATAGCATCCATAGCATGAATTCGTATTTCAGAGAAATTCTTTGGAATGTGCTTTTTTTCCATTTAGCAATAAAGTATTTTTAAATTGATATATAGTAGCTGTACATATTTTTGGGGTGCATGCGATGTTTGCATACCTGTATGCGTTGTTATAATGATTAACTCAGGGCAACTGTGACATTTGTCACCTCAAACATTTATTATGTCCTTGTGTTGGGAAGCTTACAATTCTTCTCTTGTAGTTATATTGAAATATACCATAAATTACTGTTAACTATGTTTTAATGTTATATGTGAACCTCTAGTTTTACATATGTGTCTAAATTTTCCTAATGAACTCTACAAATTGTTTAAAAAATAGGTGAAAGGTAAAAAACTTAAAACTGGAGGAGAAATTGAAGTAAATATGTTAGGCATTATATAAATAAAAATTTTCTTTTTGCCTCTATAGTGTTGTAATATTCCCATGAGATATATTGATTGTAGATCTTGTTCACATTGTTTAAAATTAAACTATTCCTCAAAGAGTCAATGTCACACCCACATATGTCTGGGAGATGGGGGTTGCATTTTAAATTAAAAGATACTTTTCTTTTTAATATATAACAATCACATGCAATGTCTGCTTGGTAAGTGGATTTTTGGTTTGGACAAAAGAGCTACAGAAGTAATTTTGGAATATTGAATATCTTGGAAAATTTAAATAGGAACTATAGAAAAGTATGACCTATTTTATCAGGTTATATTATATTATGTCTTTTTATTTTTTTTGAGATGCATCTAACTCTCTTGCCCAGGCTGGAGTGCAGTAGCGCGATCTCAGCTCACTGCAACCTCTGTCTCCCAGAACAAGTAATTCTCGTGCCTCAGCCTCCCGGGTAGCTGGGTCTACAGGTGTGAGCCACTACGCCCAGCTAATTTTTTGTAGTTTTAGTAGAGATGGGGTTTCACCATGTTGCCAGGCTGGTCTTGAGCTCCTGACCTCAAGCATTCTACCTTTCTCAGCCTCCCAAAGTGCTTGGATTACAGGTGTGAGCCACCGTGCCTGGCCATATTATGTCTATTTTTACAGATATGTGAATTATGTTAGGAGTGAAATGTCATGATGATGGAAATTTTCTTCATGATAGTTCAGCAATGAAACAGATAAAATAAATATGACAAAATATTAACAACTGTTAAATCTAAATGATATCGTATGGTTTTCTTTGTTTTGTGTATATTTGAAAATTTTCCTAATAAAAGTAAAAATAATGAACTTAAGTAGATGTCAGCAAATTATTGCCATGGGTCAAATAGGGTCCACTGTGTGGTTTTTGTTTTTTTTTTTAGTTGAACACAGTCATAGCCATTTGCATATAAATTGTGGCTCCTTTCACTCTACAACAGCGGGGCTAAGAAGTTATGACAGAGACCATGTTGGCGTAGAAAGCCTAAAATAATTACTTCTCTTGCCCTTTACAGAAAATGTTTGACAATCCCTTGACTACATGAATAGATTATAGCTTGCAGTATGGAATATGACTCATGAGTAGATTAGTTGATTTTAGGAGAAGTCACAAAATTGATCTCAAGGATGTGAACAGAAATCATGATGACTGAAAGTAACCATTAAAATTTAAAAACCTAGGCCAGGCGTGGTGGCTCTTGGCTGTAATCCCAGCACTTTGGGAGGCCGAGGGGGGCGGATTACTTGAGGTCAGAAGTTCGAGAGCAGCCTGGCCAACATGGTGAAACTCCATCTCTACTAAAAAATACAAAAATTAGTCAGGTGTGGTGGCAGACAACTGTAATCCCAGCTACTTGGGAGGCTGAGGCAGGAGAATTGCTTAAACTGGGGAGGGGGAGGCTGCAGTGAGTTGGGATGGTGCCACTGCACTACAGCTTGGGCAACAGAGCGAGACTCCATCTCAAATTGAAAAAAAAAAATTTAAAAAACCAATCACTGAGAAAAAGATATTTACAATAAAACTGTAGTTTTAGTTTTATATGTTTAGAGAGATTTTGTTTATAATTGACCAAAATAATCTACAGCCTAACTCTTCTTCCTTTCTTTCTAGATCTAAGGGAAATCTTAATTATTTTTCTCCAGTCAATTCTAGAATGAGAATTCAACGGCATTACATCTTTTTATGCCTTTCTCTATATAGAAACAATGTTTATGAACAAGGGAAAATCTTAAATGATTTTGAGAACTGTGACCTCTATCTAATATGTGAGTATTTTATGATGAAATAAGAATGGTGAAAGAGACTAAGCTATTATTGCTTGTGTTTTGAAGAAGTTAAAAATATATAATTCTGAGTATTGCTACATGTTCATCACTGTACTAGGCACTGTGTTCGAAACAATTTTGAACTCT